TTTAACAAGTGAAAAATTAGGTCAAACTTTACATTGTGAAAATTTAATAAAATTTGACTTTTTCTGTATTCGTTTTTCGGTTTTAAATACATAGTTAGTTGGCGGGCATTCTTCGGGAAAAACTTCCTGGAAGTCTCAGCTTTTGAATGGTATTGTCAAAAATAATTGTACGGTGGTATTTTAGGGAAAAAACGACGTTTTAATCGCGTCAAGTCGAAAACGCGGAAAACATATTAAAAGTGAAAATTCTAAAGAATAAGGCGACACAAAGAAAATGTCTAAGAGTAATTTTTTGTTGGAAATTTGTTGTAGAATTGACACCCTGCGTATTGCCGAACTTAAACGTAGACACCCTGCATAAGTCACCGGTAAACATGTTTTCCTTGAACATTTTGCGCTCGTAGAGAGTTCATAATAATAATTTCATCCGGAGAGAATATTTGTTAACGACAGTTGATTTAATCGTCACGATCATAGCATCGTGACACTTGGTGTTCAAATTGTCGTAGCAAATTCTTTCAGTGCCGTTTAGATTTTTAAACACGTCAAAAGCCAGTTTAGTCATCGGTGATTTATGATATATTGGGTTGATTCATAAATAACGTCCGTTCTTTAATTTAGAATTTGTTTCCATAGATATTATTATATGGTTAATCTTAATCAATTTTATAATCACTATTGTTGATTATCACTTGTCCCCATTTTGCAGGCAAAGTACAAATTATTTATAAATTTTCATTATTTTTATCAAAATAAAATATAGCCTATGTCCATCCTCAGAAAAGGTAACAGACAAACAGACAGAGTTACTTTCGCATTTATAATATTGTTGCGTTTCGCCATAATGAGTTAACACGAACTTTAATAAATAACAAACAGCTTTATAATAGAAATATGTACAACAGTAATGCAATTAAATATAGCTTCGGAACGTCTGCTCTCAATGACGTCTTGCTCGAATCTGACAGCTTGACCGGCGATCGATTCGATCGCCTTCTTCTCGCTATCTTCATGTTCCGGTCGCGAGCACCAGCAGGCCTTGGATCCATCCAATGGATGCTCGCAACAATATTATTATGGATTTTACAGCAATCTGGACTGGAATGTGGTTAAGATGCAATACCTACGCTAGAAAATGTTAATAGTGCCTATAACAAGGATACTGCCAGTATATGTACCTAGGTACTACTTGGAAGAGATGTATAAGATTCAGACGTAAATTGCTCATCTGCCAAAAATGTCTACAGGTACACATTTCTGAACTGACCTCACCTATTCAATTTTAATTAATAAATTCAATGAATAAATTGAAAAATTTTAATTAATAAATTAAATGCCCTATAATTAAATTGTATATTCACTAACACAAATAGTTATACATTTTTCGATGAACCATGATTAAAAAAAGTATCCAATACATAGGGTTGAACAAATTTAACAGTACTTATTTTTAACCTGCACAGACAAAAGTCTGTGTTTATTTGCAGTTCAATCGTGTCGACAGGATCGATGGAGATGAAAATAAGAACAGCCATAATCGCAGTGCAAGAATGTCAAACGTCTCTGATGTCAGAATTCGAGTTCCTCTTCTTACAGTTCCACTCTGTCCCGAATAATGAACAAAACCGGAAGCTTATGGTATGTTTACTTTGCTCGCTATTATGAGTAACGTTCATTTTGATTCGTTTCACGAGAACTCTGAATAAGATTCGCGGAGATTTCCACCGCAATGACATATGGAAAAGTGAAGACACTGCACCTTTGGTCCTCGATCCTCCACCCTCTTGTTTCCCTTCTTTTCCTTTATCGCCAAGTCAAAACGCCTGGAGGAAGTTTCTCAGTGAATTATGAAAACGGCGCCTTTATGTCAAAGAGCACGCCGCGCTATACTTGACGAGCTTACGTGTGCGCTGGGGGTCTGGAAGTTGGGCAAGTGGCAGGCACAAAGAGCGATGTAAATTTTCCACGTCATTCGCTTCCATTTCGCTCGGCGGCGAAGTTGTAAATGGACGTCCCGGGAACACTGTCTCGCGATAACCTGTGAGCCTGAATCCTTCATGAGGACGATGTGTACCGGTTTTGTCTCTTGATAACGTATCGCGCCCTCTCTCTCATTCTCCATCGGGCGGTTATTAATCGACACGAGTAAATTTGACGATTTTGGCGAGCAACGCACGACTCTGTTCGTCGCTTTCGAAACATGAATCGTCGACGGAATATACTTTGTGGAACAATTAAAAGGTGAAGAGAAGAATGATCGAAGGATACGTGTTCCTGGCGGTAATTTGTGTTTAATAAACGTTCGTCTGGTGTAGTTATGCAGCACAGGCCTAGACAGAATGGCTATGTATAGAGAAATAGTACTGTTGCGAGCACTCTTTGAATGCATCCAAGGCCTGCTGGTGCTCGCAACCGGAACAAGAAGACAGCGAGAAGAAGGCGATCGGATTGATCGCCTGTCAAGCTGTTATATTCGAACTAGACGTCATTGAATGCTGACGTTCCGAAGCTAAGAACACATTTAATTACCTTTGTTGATATTTGTATTGTACACACCCTGTTATATATTAAAGTTACTCGTTAATCCTTAAAGTTCTCGTTATGCCGAACATAAAACGTAACGATACCTACAGTTAATCTTATAAATATTCGTAATCTCTATGTCTATTGAAAAAATTTGTCTTAATTAAATGATTGCTGCGATGCTTCTGAATAAATATTTTATTATAAATTCATCCATATGTAAAATTTATGTACGTACATATTTATAATGAAAAATTGATTTGATAACATTAAACCCATCATTTAATTTAGGCAAAATTTTTCAATAAATTTAGAGGGTACGAATACTTATGGAACGGACTGTACATGTATCTGTTACGTTAAGGGGTTATTATCGTACGCGCGAACGAAAAAGAGATTTTCTTTAAGAATTTTTATTTCATATAGAAAATAATTTTAAAAAGTCAACGTTCTTATCCATAATTGTAGACATGTTACATTTAATAGGGTAACTTATGCGATGAAATTGAAATGTTAAAATTAAACAATGTAATTGAAATGTCAGATACTAACAAATTGCAAAAGAAAAATTTTAAATAAAATGTTTAAGTCTATTATTGTAAATATAGGGAAAGTATAAAATAATATAATACATTGAATATTTCTTTACTAATAAGTATTACTCAGATATGTTTGTCGGTCAAATATAATTTTAAAAACAGTTTCTTTTCTCAATGCCGTTAATAATGTGATAGGCGACTGTAACGAAAATTTTATTTACAAAATTCAGGAAGTCATAATATCATTAAGAGTTTACTTGTAACCTCAATAAACGACGGAAGTCGAAGTAAACTTTCTCAGCTCCTTTAATTAAAAGTTACGAAACGCTTCGTAATCGCATCGCAGGACGCTCGTTAAAAAGCAAACCAGTGGGATTAACGACGAGAATTTTTGAATGACCCTTTTAATTCGTATAATTCTATCGGTTTATCTTCGGCTAAATTGAAAAAATGGAACGAGTATCACGAATTCAATTTCAGAGAGAACAATAAAAATTGTTTTATTTTGTAGAAACGGAGCGAACGAGCTGAAAACCTCTCGACGTAGAATTTTCAGTCACGAGTTGAGCAGTTGTGTAAAATGTCGGAACCAAAGTCGATTTTTGCATCGAGAATGCTTTTGTGTTATTAATGGTGAAGGTTCGAGAATCCAAAGTTTCAGCATCGTTATTTCGCCAGAGTCACGAAATTTTCTCAACTTTGGTGATATCAGAGGGATGAAGTGTCAGTGAATTTTAGGAAACAGCGATATTCAATAAGCCATATCTCGTATATTTTCGTCCTGCGCACTCTGCGAAAAGTTAACGCTACGAACACAATCCGCTACTCTAAGGTGGATATTCTTAAGAATTATTATATTTTTGATAATGATAAAAGTGTGTGTTGGTAATATGATAGATAGGAAGATGTAAGTAAAGAAATTGTAAATGTAAAATAATGTAACAAACAATATTGTGTGACATATATAACTACAAGACACTCACTCTAATGATTCGCGTAATTCCCAATTTATTTTCTTTTAATTTCTATTTCATGTACCTCTCTTGTTTTATAGCCTCTTTATTCT